GGTAATTAGTGACAGAACGAGAGGGAACGGCTTCAAGCTCCAACAGGGGAGGTTTAGATTGAACATTAGGAAGGAATTTTTCACCCAAAGAGTGGTCGGGCATTGGAACAGGCTGCCCAGGGAGGGGGTGGAGTCCCCATCCCTGGCTGTGTTTAAGGGCCGTTTAGATGCAGTGCTGAGGGACATGGTGTAGGGGAGGACTTTGTAGAGTAGGGGAGATGGTTGGACTCGATGATCCCAAGGGTCTCTTCCAACCTCAATGATTCTATGACTCTATGATTCTATCATCTAGTCCCCCCGAGAAAGCAGGGCCGCCCAGAGCAGGTTGCACAGGAACGAGTCCGGGTGCGTTTGAGTATCTCCAGAGAAGGAGACTCCACTACCTCCCTGGGCAGCCTGTTCCAGTGCTCTGGCACCTTTAACTCCAGCCAGAATTTCCTGTGTTCCAGTTTGTGCCTGATGCTGCTTGTCCTGTCACGGGGCACCACTGAAAAGAATCAGGCCCCAGCCCCTTGACACTACCCTTCAGATATTGATAAGCATTGATGAGATCCCCTCTCAGTCTTCTCCAGACTAAACAGACCCAGGTCTCCCAACCTTTCCTCAGAGAGATGCTCCAGTCCCTTTTGTTTTGACCCTTGCCCAAACCAGGGAAACTATACCATTAATACCGATTTGCATGTAAAACTACTACTTCCCATTTCACATGAAATACTTGAGAGCCTTAAGTCACACAATAAATATGAAGGTAATTTTCTTTTGGGGCTCTGAATGCCTTCAGGACCCATCTCTGACCCAGGACAGGTTACTGCCTTTGCTCCACCTGGAGCAGAAATGCAGAAGCCCATTCCTGTGCCACTGCAAGGGCCGAGCACTGCACAGAGGGGACAGGCCACCCCAGATGACCACAGGGAGGGTATTTGCTTGCAAACACAAAGTATGTGTCTAGCTGACCCCCCTAACCACCAAACCAGCTCACCTTCAATGAGTAAAATAGACACACAAAATGAAAGCTGTGGTGTTCATCAGGTGAGGAGGCTTGTGGTTTTGACACTGAAGGGCCAAGCTTGACATTTTGAAGTCACCATTGAAGGATTTCACGTTGCAACCCTTGCCTGGTCAAGTGAGAGCACTACCCTGCCAGCCAAGGTTCACATAAGGGGGAAAACATCCATTTGCTACAAGTAACTGCCCGCTCGGCATTCCTGTCCAGAACTGTGTTTGAGATAAGCTCCAAATATCTCACTCAAAACCAAACTCCCCTCAGTCCGAAAGAGCCCTCCAACCAATGAAACATGGTCTTTTCCTCCAGTGTCAGCATCACATCAAAAATTATGGCTCACCACTGCCGTTTGTGGAGTAAAAGGACAGTCACAAAAGTATACAATTAGAGATAAAGAGAAAGCAGAGAACAGAACAGCAAGGAGAAAGAAAACATCACTAAGTAGACTGCTAGGTAGTAGAAAGGATCCATCCAGCACAGTAGGCACAGCCAGAAACTGCTGGAATAGTTCTCTATTAATGCAAATTGCTTGGACAATAACACCACAGAGCCTTGAAACACAGAGATGGTGCTGCAAAGAAGCAAAGAAAACAGTAGCAAAGAACAAGCTGTAAAAAAAAAAAAAAGATCCAAACCTAAATCAAGTGATCACCAGTTTTTTCTATATAAACTAAATAAAAGGGAAGAAACAAATTTAAGTGTGCAATTCGTGTTCAGAATGACAAAAATTGGATACACTAAGTGATTTACTGAGGTCCAAGGAGCTTAGGGAGTGGAAAGCAGAGAAACTTAATACTTCTTCGAAGGAAAGGTGTCAACCTCAGAAAAAAAATATTTGCATCAAAAAATGTGAAGAGGAGTAAAAGTAAGATCCTCACCTCTAACTGGGTAAACAGAAAGAGGTTAGAAATAAACAACCTACAAGAATCTAGAAAAAAGACCAATCAGAAGAGACAACTTTGTTTTAAACATCAAATAGCATAAAGCCAAATGTTACGTTGAACTAAATCAGGCTAAAACCTTATATAGGATCGTCTGAACTCAAGAACACTTTCCTGTGAGAAAGGAAACCAAATAACAGAAGAAGATGCAGGGTGACTGCAGCAAGGACAGGATAGACTGAAATTAGGCAGATATTAGCAGAAAACCCCCATTCCCTGAAGTCAATATTTCAGTTAATGACAACGCTGAGCTGGTAATAATCTCACTGCTGAACAAGCAGCATGGCATCAACTCCGGAGCCACTGGTCTTTCCACAGCATACACTGCCTTTGGTAGAAGAAACTATGAAGGAATAAAGTTGTAAAGCTAAATACATAAATAGTTTAAAAGACAACATGGATATTTAAATGGAAATTTGATAGATCCAACCTTAAGAAAAACCCAACAAACCAAACACAAACCCAAAACTCCCACAACACACAACTAGTTTTGTAAATTAAAAATATGATGCGGTCACATCTGTCGATGTTTTACCAGAACATCCAATTGAACAGCACATACGAAAATAAGCAATATTACAGAAAATATGTGCAGCATGGAACTGCCCTAGAAGAGAAACGCAACAAGACCGGGCTGCCAGCAGAGATCACAAGGACATGAGGTTAATAGTCTGGTACTTTTAGAGTCTTCTTAAAGTTTAATTATTACATTAACATTACTGGTTGGCTTCCAATAGAAAATTCTGATGATAAAAGTCAATAGATATTAGCAACACAAGAAGACTGAAATAGCCTTCCAGACAACATCATCTTTGAGGACTGGATGTATAGCGGCAGGATGAAATGCAGCTACTAAAATAAGTTGGATCACTGAGAAGGGCAATAAGAAAACATGCTGCCAGATAGGAACGTATAATTTAAAAATAAAACAGATATGCCATCAGTATAACTCATTTGCAGCCAAGGAAACCCCTGAAATTTAAACAGGGCCATGATACTAGTTCAGTGATGAACCATCAAGCAAGACAAGG